TGTATGTTTCAAGGTCAAGTGAAATTGTGTATGTCACTCAACACAGAACCTTGGACTAGACAAAACAAAACAACAACAAAAAAGAACAGGTGATGTGAGTACTGAAAACAAAACCAAACAACTGTTAGGCCATGTGGCTCAGTTGGTAGAGGGCCTGTCTGCAGGTGTGAGGCCCTGAGTTCAGTTCCCAGTACCACTTAAGTTGAGCATGGTGTCATAGGCCGGCATACCAGCACTTGAGAAGTAGGATTAGGAGCTTGATATTGCCAGGAGTTCAAGCTCAGATGCATGGGGAGTTCTGAGCCAGCCTGGACTATAGGAGAGCCTAATTTGAGATAAAAAGAAAAATTCTGCCTATATTTTGCCACTCCCAGGTAAATCTGTCCCAGCTGACCAAGCCCTTCTAGTTCACTGTGTGAAGGCTGTTAGCGAGGCATAACAAGGCTCAGAGAGGTCAGACACCCACCTTGGATCACACAGAAGTGGTAGCCAACCTAAATCAGACTGGGGATCTTGCTTTCAGCCTGTGACTCCTAGTTTCCAGGCCCTGCTGGCCTGTCCTCTGACCCTGGCTCCCTGGGAGCCTGACCCCAGACCCATGGGGTCTGTAAGTCTGGTCTGGATTAGACACGCTGAGAAGCAAAGACTGCTCCCCCAAGCCGGCTGCCCAGTGGGACCAGAGCTCACAGCTGCTGAGGCTCACAGGGACATAAATCACAGTGGCAGGAGGCCCCAAGGGCCAGGACCATCTCAGCCTCCCGAGGGCATGGGGGCCTGAGAGTTGTGGGCAGGGACACCTGGGTCCACTGGGGGTTGCTGTCCTCTCTTGGACTAGCTGGAACAGGGTGAGTTAGTGGGGCCAAGAAACCACTTGGCAGCCCTTGTGTCAGCATGGGCCAAGAGCCTGGCTTCAGTTTTGCAATCATCACACACATACCGATGAAACAAGGGATGCAGACAGCCCTGTGCCTTTACCCATTCTGTGCCTTCAGGGCCCCATGCTTTACCTCAAGACCCTGTGTTTTACCAGGCATCAGCAACCCTGGCTTCTACCCCAGGTCTTTTCTGCCCCATGATTTACTGACTCCCCCTTCTTTACCCTGCTCTCCCACCAGCATCTTTCTTATTGGATGCATTTGGGGATCCAGTGTTGCCTGTACCATGCTCCTCCACCCCAGAGAGACTCTTGTTTATTATTTTTTTAACTAGATGATTTGTTTCTTAGTTAACTGCATGCTTATGGGCTTTGGTTTTTTTTTTTTTTAGTTTTAGTTCTTGTTTTTTTATTTTTAGATACATTTGTTTTATGTGTAAGGGTGTTTTGTCTGTATGAGTGTCTATGCACTGTGTGTGTGCCTGATTCCCAGAGAGGCCAGGAGAGGGCATTAGATTTCTTGGTACTGGAGTCACAGATGTTGTGAGCTGCCTTGTGGGTGCTAGAAATTGAACCCTGGTCCTCTGGACGACCAGCCAGTGCTCTAACCACTGAACCATCTCTCTAGCCCCCAGAAGACTTAATGCTTAATCAGAAGGATGTCCTTTTTCTTAACTGTAGCAAACTCAAATTTCTTTTTCTTTTCTTCTTTTTTTTAAAAAAAATCTGAGACATAGTCTGTCTATCCAGGCTGGTCTTGATTTGTGATCCTCTTCCTCGTGGCTGCTGGGAACTCTTTTGCCAGATTTTTTTTTAATTTTGGGGTGCTTAAGATTAAATCCAGGGCCTCATGCATAGGAAGTATGTGCTCTATTGCTGAACTATAATTTCAGATCTATTTTAATTTAACCTAATAGAATATGTCAAGAAACCATATATGGGTAAGAATCTGTATTCTAAGCCTTGTTCAATCTCCAATGCTAAGTGATTCTGGTCCATTACTGTTCCTGTCTAGGCTTCAGTTTCCTATGGCTGTGAATAATTTTATCCCCCCAAGAAAGGGTTTCTCTGTGTGGCCGTGGCTGTGTTGGAATTCATTCTTTATAGACCAGACTGACCTCAAACTCAGAGATTCTTCTGCCTCTGTCTCCAAAGTGCTGGGACTAAAAGTATTAGCCACCACTGCTTGGCAGGCTGTGAGAGATTTTTGAGGGCTTTCCAGTTGTAACCTGTGATGTGGCAGGGCAGGAGTTCTGGGTTACTGGGGCCGGGTCTCTGGGAAGCCTCTGGCTGGTTGCTTATCTGTCTGTTTCCTCACTCTGTGAGGAAGTGAACACTGAGAGCATTCTCATGATGATGTGTCTGGAGGTGGGGGCACTGCCATCATCAGGGCCAAGGTGGCCTGGCTGGAGTTAGCTATCAGGGCAACTTTTGGGGGAAGAGTCAGCCCCATTAAGAATGACCCTCACAAGTCTTGTTTCACAGCTATGCTTCTCCTGAGACACATGTTGGGCTAGTCTTACAGCTCACAAAGACTGGTAGACATTAACTGTCCATTGCCCAGCAAAACAACAAGCCATAAATGGTAAAACAGTTTGCAGTTATGGAAGGTGTGCCAGCCCTGGAATGTCAAAGGTTTTGTAAGTATAAGGACTATATTGTGAGGAGGAAAATCGAGTGTGTAAAGCGCTATCTTTATTGTGTAAAGTCAGGCAAGTCGCAGGCACACACACCCCCACACACGCTTGTGCATTACTTGCCTACTGTACACATAGATCAGGACCCACCTTAGCGGTTACTGCCTTGGAACTGGTACCTGGGAGGGAAGGCCACCGGCTGTGCACTTCCCACCTGTGCACTCTGGAGCTGGTATCTACGTCTCTAGGGCTTGTGTCCACGGGGGCAAGCAGGTGGGGAGAACTTACTAGATTGACCTGTGAAGTACTTCATGCCTTAAGTGGTTGAGAGGGTGAACTTGGTGGCTGTGGGTAACTGCAAGTGTGTGTGCCAGACTCTCCAGGACTGCAGGGTACGTTGCCATCATCCTTAGGGTGGATGGTATTTCTAGAGTCGTGAACTTGAACTCTTATGATAAAGACTAGCAGAGAAATCTATACTTATTGTTTTCTGCAGGGCCTTTCAGAAAGAAGCCACGGGGACTCCTCATAGCTGTTGTGGGAGTGGGAGGCTGAGGGAGGTGTGTGCCTTTCCTTGCTTCCATTTGATGTAACGTGAACTCATTCCCCACTGCCCCAGAGCTCTTTAAAAACCATTGAGCAAGTCTGGCGGTGGTGGCGCGCGCCTTTAATCCCAGCACTCGGGAGGCAGAGGCAGGCGGATCTCTGTGAGTTCGGGGCCAGACTGGTCTACAGAGCAAGTCCAAGACAGCCTCCAAAACAATACAGAGAAAATCTGTCTCGAAAAACAAAAACAACAACAACAACAAAAACATTGAGCAAAACACCCCTTTTTCTCATCTTGCTGCTACGCTTGTTAAGAGATTGGAAAGGCCCAGATGGGTCAAACAACATTTCTCGGGTCACCCAGCAAATCTGGTGGCAGAAGTGGGCTTCCAGCCCACTGCACCCAAAGTGTCTGTTCTGCCCCCCTCCTGGGTTTCCTGCCATTGACAAGGTCATAGTCCTCTTCCTGTGGCTTTGCCAGAGGCTGAGCTACCTGGAGCAGGGTAGGCTCAGGGAGAGCAATATGCTTTCCTAATTAGCTCCTAGAGGGGAAGTGTGGGCGCTCTGGGACACAGGACAGACAAGACCAGTGTCCCTGGACACAGGAACTGAGGGAGAGGGCGTGGGGTAGGTCTCCTGGGCAGTGTGGCCCCTGGGGACCCTCCTCCTTCATGTCCCATGCTAATAGAGTAAGTGCGGGGTTGCACCACTGGTTCCAGCCTGTATGACAAGGGGCAAACCATTCTGGTCCCTCTTGCTGGCCGTTTTGTCTGTAGGGAGAGCTGGGTGGGTTAGGCTTGATCCTGTGGAGGTTGGCACAGTTGACATTTGGCTACAGTTTACTGATCTGCAAAATAGGCTACCTCACGGTTCCTCTGCCAGAGGGTCAGATACTCACAGCGAGCACTGTTAGTTCGGGGAGCCACCAATCAGTAAACATGAAATGAAAGTGCTCGCTAATAAGAACATAATGATATGTGAATGTCCCTTGCTGTGATAAGGGTGGCTGCCTGGCTGGTCCCAGCCTTCCTCCTTGCTTTCTCTGAGCTTCTCTGACCCTGGCCTCATAGGCACCTAGGCTGAGCCACAAAGCCCAGATCCTCTGGCTTCCCTGGGTTCCAGTAGCCAGGCTGTCTGTGCTGTATTCTCGGATGAATCTGCGCAGTGTAAGCACAGGCGCGCCGTCTCCCAGGGCTGCTGGCTCACTACCCAGACAGGGGAAGGGCTGCTTCTTCCCCTCCCTTTTGCTATTTTATTTCGTGTGTATGCATGTGTGTGTGAGGCACATGTGGAGGTTAGGGGACAACTTGAGGGAGTCTGTTCTCTCCTTCCACTACGCGAGTTCCAAAGGCTGTCAAGCTTGGTGGCAAGGGTTTTTACTGGTAGAGTCATCTCAATGGCCCCTACTTAGGGTTTTAAAAGCAGACAGACCTCAGGGTGTCACCTGTAACATACCGGTTTCTAAAACTAAGATTCTGCCTTCAGCACTTGGTAAACCACGTAGGCTGGGTGGTGATGTGTGTCCCACTAAGACACACTCACAGAAGGCAGCATAAGCAGCGAGCAGAAGAACGGAGCCATTTCCAAACTGACTCCGGACAGTAGCAAGCTCCACTGAGGGGCGAGGAGGCATCAGGTAACCTGAAGGAGGAGCTAGTGGAGGCGGACTCGTCACCACGTGCCCTCTAGGAGCTTTTGAATTTGAACCACGGTTCTATTCCTCACTCACAAATAAATATAATGTGGATTTCTTTGGTCACTATCCAATAGTGTTTATAACTCTGAACTAAGGGAAGGCTGTGAGGAGGGTCTACCTATAGCTTCCTGTCCATGGTGAGAAGCCTTTGCCACAGCTGTGACAATCTTCAGTCCTAGAGAGGGGTCTGTCTCCAAGTCCCACTGTCCCCATCCCTCCCCTTACGTATCCAGGATCCACATCATTTATTTAAAAATACCTTTATTTTAACCCCACCAAATTCTCTCACATATCACATTAACACACACACACACACACACACACACACACACACACTTTCAAAAATAGTCTTTGGTTTTCTGAACTTTCTGCCTTGTCCTTGGCCAGCTGGGCCTGAATGGCTAGTTGGGTCCTCATGGCTCTCCAGGGTGGGCCCTGTGTCCAGGCCATTGTCCTCTGGTCCCTACACAAAGCAGGAGTGGTTTGGGCTTCTGGAATCTTCTCCTCTGTCCAGTGAGGGGCTGGCTCCTAGCCTCTTTCTCTGGAGTCCTTCTTGAAGCAAACACTGCAGGGACCAGGCTCATCGCCGAGGCCCTCTGAGGGGGGCAACACCCCTCACTTTCAAGCAGCTGCCCCCCAGGTCACGACGGCTACCCTGCAGGAGAGAAAGAAGTGCCAAGGTGAGTTGGAAGCTATGTGCCCAGCAACAGAGGCTTGATAAAGTTCAGCCACACAGTAAGTTCTCTGTTGAAGAGGCAGACGAGATTGTGATGACAGGGAGCATCACGGGTGACAGTGTTTAGGGACAACAGCAGGGGAATGAGTGCCACCTATGGAGGGAAGTGTGTGTGTGTGAGCCATTGCGTCCCTCTCCAGAGGGGATGTCAGAGATCCCCTCCTTTGTAACAGTTTACCTTATCCTTCCCTTTCCCACCTGAAGATCTTTTGTCTTAAGAAACCTAATACATGCTGGGTGTGCTGACACATGCCTGGAATCCCAGAGGCATGGAGGCTTGCCCATGAATTCGAGGTCAGCCTGGTCTACATAGTGAGTTCCAAACCAGACAGAGCTGCATAATGAGGCCCTGTCTCAAAAGACAAGAACAAATCCCCCAAATTGAATACGTGTATATAACAGACACCCCCATAGGGCAGAGGGTGCTGGGGACTGAACTGCTACATTCCAAGGCCATACAATTTTCACACACTGTAAAGTATATTTTACATGAAGGGGCGAGGAAAACGCCCTGCCTGACTATGAAATAGGTGTGTGTGTGTGTGTGTGTGTGTGTGTGTGTGTATGCACTTGATTGTGCACACGCCCAGTCACTGTCTGGGCCACCTTCAAAATCAGACAGGTTTTCAGCTTCCTTGCCTTCACCGGGGTCTCCCGTGTGCAGGGAGCATACCCTCGGCACTGGCCTTCCACGAAGCTTTCTCTATGAATGAAGTTGCTTCCCACTTGGTGCTGCTATTTGGGACATTTTCCTGGAGTAAACCAAGGAGGGAGGCAAGATTTACCTTTGCTTCCTCGTTAGGCCTGGAGTCCAGGAAGTGGCAGAGAAGGGCATTCCTCCAGCCTGGGGCTGGAGCTCTGCAGGCGCCAGCCAGTGCTGCTTCAAGCTCAAGGCAGCAGTCCCTGAAGCCACCAGTCCTTCAGCCTTGACCCTCTCACCAACATGCTCAGGATGGCCATGGGTTAGACCCTCACTGAGAATGAGATAGCTCACAGCCCTGGCACTGCCTTCTTGCTTTCTGACAGTATGTAGTTATGTAGCCTAGGTTGACCTTGAACTTCAGATCCTCCTGCCTCGGCCTTCCTTCGTCCGAGTGCTGGGGTTACAAGCCTGTGCCACCATGCCCAGACTAGCGTTCCCTCTTTTGAGGATTCCGGTGTTGAGTAACTGGCCCAGAAACACCAGCTGTTTAGTCAGAGCTAGGGAGAACCCTGCTGCCTTTCAGGCCCCCATGTAGAGTGGATTATCACAGTAAGTGCTCAGCCGGCTGGGAATGGCTGAGCTGGCGGTGACCTCAGTTCATCTAGAGACCCAGTGGACCATCTGGGAGCTCTGCCTCTGCTGCCTCCTGCCTCTGCCCCAGCCCAGGTTGGGGCAGATCCATCCAGATGTGAGCCCAGCCTCCCTGGAGGCTCTCTGGGCCCAGGGACAGTATGTTCATTCACAGGCAGGGCTATTTTGAGGGCTGAGGCCATGGTCCCAGCAGAGCCTGGGGCTTGGGCTTCTCAGACAGACTCTGGCAGGAGAAGCTGAGAAGGGTGGATGGGGCAGGGAGAGGGAGGCTAGGGGACAGAGCCCTCCCCCACTTCACTCTGAGGTCCTCAGAGACCAGGAGCACCACCTCCACCCTGAGTCTGTAGGTCATTCAGAGAACTGGGTTCCGTGGGAATGCTGGGACAGTTCACCTCTTCATCTGTGGAACGGTCAGCCGGCCCCCAGGTGCAGTGGAATGTGAACACAGCTGTGTCCACTGCCAAGAGCCCCAACAGAGGTTTAACCAGGTCCAGGGTGAGACACTCCTGCGCTAACATGGACTCCCTGCTGGATGGAGCCTTCGCTCCCTCACCTGTAGCATGGTAGTATTTTACAGAATAAACAAGCTCACACAGGTGTCGCACACTAACAGGTAAGGCTCTCTTTGTATATGGTACTGGGGACGGAATCCAAGGCCTCGCTTGTGGCAGACAAGTGTTCTATTGCTGAGCTGTAGGTCCAGTCTTGCTTTTACTTTTCGAAACAGGGTCTCACTAAGGGGCCTTCATGCCTCACACCTGGGATCTTCTACCCCAGCCTTCTGGGTAGTGGGGGCTACAATGTGAACCACCACACTCACCAGGAAGAGCTCGGTGCAACTTGAACAACACAGCAGGTGGTCCACAGACATTCAGAATATGATTACCAGCATCTTCCAGCGGTACCTCCTGGTACCTTGTCAACCCTCTGCTGTTAGTTGGGCACACCAACAGTGGGGAATCACCTCCCCAAAGGACCCTGTCTAGTTCTACTCCCAGGTGACAGAAGGGAAAACAAGGCCGAGACAAGAACCCGCTTTCCGCTCGGTCCTACTACCACAGAGGCCACCTTAGCTCATCCAGAGCAGGAAGGAACTATAGGGGACTGCGTCCATGGCAACCACAACCCCAGACCAGCCAGGATTAGAGGGGAAGGAGTGGGGGCTTGACCTCAGAGCTCAGAAGTGTGCAGGGGCTCCCCCAAACATCTAGCATCTTCCAGACAAGTCCTAGAGGGGCTAGCACTGGCCAGGATCACCCCCCTGGCCTATTCCCAGAGGAGCCTGTGTGACTGAGCATGGCTTCTACAACCAAATTTGGTTGGGTTCTTGATCCCACAGACAGATCCCAAGGCAGCAGTCAGGCTTCGGCCAGTCCCCAGTGCTGCAAAGGAGCCCCGTTCTGACTGCTGTGGTGGTGGGCACAGACGTGCCTTCTCCGCAGCCTGCAGGCCCAGGGCCCTCCTGCTGTCACCTTTACCACTTCCCAGGTAGCCAGGCCAGAGTGCCAATCCCGCTCTGCAGCACAGTGCTCCTCGGGCAGGGCAGCCTGTCCAGGCAGGTGGCCGTGGACACAGGGCTCCTTCTCTGCCCCTTAAGGGACCTAAAGGAAGAGCGCTGAGCACGGACGTGTACTAGGAAGACTCCTGTCACTGTGGTCCACCTCTGCCTTCAACATCTTCCCACTGCTTTCTCTAGAGCAGGGATTCTCTAACCCAAGGGGTCATGACCCTTTCACAGGGGTCATGACCCTTTCACAGGGGTCATGCATCAGATATCCTGCACATCAGATATTTACACTAATTCATAGCAGTAGCAAAATTACAGTCATGAAGTAGCAATGAAATAGTTTTATGGTTGGGGTCGCCGCAACATGAGGAACTGTATTAAAGGGTCAGAGCGTTAGGAAGGTTGAGAACCACTGCTCTAGACCATGACTGCAAACCCCAAGTCCTACCATGCATGCTCTAAAGCACCCTTTTCCCACCCTTTACCCGTGTGAGTATCTCTGTTTCCACATATCTTTTGGGGATTTAGCTCTTCAGCCTCACTCTGAGGCTGGGCTTCTCCCAGGCTCTCAAAGTCCCACAGTATCCTTGTCATCCTCCTGTCCTGCCCCAATGCTGTACTGGGAGCACTTGACTGGCAGGTAGGGACACATCTGCTTCTCTGGGTATATTCCTACAGGGAAGCTGACCTGGATGAGCCTGTGACAGGCGGTAAAGGAGCACTTGCCAGGCCCAGTTAGCCTTTCCATTCCAGATGCTCACCTGAAGGCCAGCTCTTACTTTCCTCCCCAGCCTGAGGCACTGACGGGGACCCTCAAAAGGGTACCAGTCAGGTTAAGAGAACTCACTCAGAGAAAGTGATGTATCTGGGGGCTGGGAAGTCAGTGCCAGTTTGAAGTCAGTTTGAGCCAGAGGGCAGGCTGAGGCTAGGCCACTGAGGTCTTTCCCAGGGTAGAGCTATGAGAACCAGTGTGCTGAGTATTGTATTCAGGGGATTCAATACAATTAGTGATCTTTGTCACAGCCATGGAGAGTAAGGCAAGATTCTCTGATCCTCTGTTTCTCCAGATGTAAACAGTAGCTGGTGACCTAACTTCCTCGATGTAAGACAAGCCCAGGCTGTGAAAGGGTTCGAGCCTGGGGGCCAAGCAGGCCCGGGCAGTTTTGGCTAAGAGGGCCCCAGAGATTTCTGCTGCTCCCCAGTGGCCAGCCAGCCTCTTAACTTAGACACAAGCAGACAACAGTGTCCCCTCCTAACCCTATATTCTTTAAGGACCCCTTCCTACACACCTGTTGAGGACCTCGGGCTTTCTTCTCAGTCTCCTGCTGTTGAGTCATGTTTAGAACATGGAACAATTTATTAGGGATGATGTTTGCTCAGAGTGATACCTACCTAGTAAGCAAGCCCAGAGCCTGCTTCCTGTAAATGTGAGCAGTGCCTTTATCTGTAGCGCCCCAGGGATAACTGAGGTGACAACCAGCTACCTGCCCAGAGGTGCAAGCATCAGGTAAAGAGGAAGGTCGTCCCAGGGTGCGGGCACCTTTCAAGGCTCAATTAAGTCAGACCGGCGCCTTCCCTGTTTCCCTCTAAGCTTTCTGTTTGGGGGTTAAGCAAGAGGATCGCTCTGCTCTGCTTTAATCCTAGGGCACGAGACACCGCCTCCGCCGCTGTTCCGAGGTCGCTTCCAAAGGAGAGGGTGTCCATGGCTCCTGGGAGGTCCAACACCCGCCCCCAACCCTGATGGTCCGGTTGCAGCAGGCGCGCGTGCACTCACCCCTTTGCGCTGGTTGCTGAGACAGAAGGTGCAGATGGAGCGCGGCTGACGGCCGTCGGCGGCGGGGACCGCGCTCTTGCCACCGCCCGCCGCGCGGAAACACGGCTGCCCATCGTCGGCTGCGTCGCCCAGCATTAGCACGTTGGCCAGGTGCGCGATGTAGCTGGACGCCAGACGCAGCGTCTCGATCTTGGACAGCTTTCGGTCCACCGGTTCAGTGGGAATGAGTGTGCGCAGGGCGGTGAAGGCCGTGTTCACGCTCTGCGTGCGGTCTCGCTCGCGCGCGTTGGCCGCTTGTCGCTGCCGCACCACCACCACCGGGCCCGCGCCGCTGCTTGCCCGCCGCCCGCCCCCGGGACCTGGGCCGCGCCGCGTCGTCTCCAGCCCTTCGCAGCACCCGAACGACTGGTCCGAGGCGTCGCTCTCGCTGCGGTTCTCCTCGTCCTCGCTCAGCAGCCGCACGTCCGAGTACAGCACGTGCGCGCCAACCGGGCGCAGCAGCGCGAACGCCATGGGCGCCCGGCCACGGGCCTCCGCTCGCCTGCTTCCCCGAGCCGCCGCCCCCGCCGTGCGCTCCCGCGCGCTCCCACGGACCAGCCGGTCGCCGCCTTATAGCCGAGGGAGGAGCCAATCACGAGGCGGTCCGGACGGGGCCAATGGGACACCCCCGCCCCGCCCCGGCCAATGACGACGCGCCTGCTCCTGTGGACCCCCCCCCCAAGTTGAAAGCTCTTGGCCCTCCCCGAAGGCTCTGGGACTGAGCTGGACAGACGCTCGGATCCAGACTTCTGGGAGACAACTGTCAGGCCCCTGTTAGCATGTCCTGTCTCCGCACTCAGAAGTCGAATCCCGTGTCCTAGCAACTTCGGTGTGCTATCAGAACCCCGACCAGAGACTTTGGACTAAGCTTCTCAGACTAGACTGTTCCATTCTGTTCCATTCAGCAGCTAGGAGTGTGGCCCAGGACACTGCACTTTATGTGAGCTCACCAGCATGCACTGTGATGCTGGAGCTGTCCGAGGGGTCACCTTTCTTGCTGACAAACTTTTTTTCTTTTCTCTACCCCTGCATTTGCTGGCTTTCTGTGTCAACCTGACACAGCTAGAGTCATCAGAGAGGAGAGGGCCTTAGGTGAGGAAATGCCTCCATGAGATCCAGTTATAAGGCGTTTTCTCAATTAGTGATCAATGGGGAGGGTGCAGTCATGGTGGGTGATGCCATCCTGGGCGGTGGTGTCATCCCTGGGCTGCTGGTTCTGGGTTCTATAAGAAGGTGGGTTGAGCAAGCCAGGGGAAGCAAGCCTAAGTAAGCAGCACTCCTCCATGGCTTCTTCATCGACTCCTGCCTCTGGGATCTTGCCCTGTTTGGGTTCCTGTCCCGACTTCCTTCAGTGATGAACAGCAATGCTGAAGTGTAAGCTAAATATACCCTTTCCTTCCCAACTTGCTTTTTGGTCATGGTGCTTTGTCGCAGCAATAGAAACTCTAAGACACCCCCTTCCCAGCAAAACAAACACCCAAGTCCCATTTGGCTGGGTTCTATGATACGTCAGGCATGGTTTTAGTTGGAAGATAAAGATCAGAACAAAATTAACTTTGCTTCTCAACCCCTGGAGACTGGTGGGGCCAACAGGACAGTTTTGTGTCATCTAAAGTTGCTGGACAGTGCCCACGGTGCAGATCTGGCTTCATTACTCCAGGATCCCCTACTTCATCTCCTGTCAGCGCCGCCCCTCCCACTTCTTTCAGAAATTTCTAGAGGATATGGGAAGAATAACTGAGCAGAGAATGACTGGCCACTGGGGTCCTCATGCCACGCATACCTGCTTCTCAGTGCCAACCCAGAACTGGTAAAATCAGCATCCACTTGGCCTTGAAAATAGTTTTCCTTTCCTCTCAAATGATGATTAGAACTGCCCAAAGCAAAAGGCTTGTAGGAGCTTCTTGGTTTTCTGGAAGACCCCTTCCAGCTCCAAGGACTGCGTTTCTCCAGCACCCCCGATCTAGCCCAGAAGGGAACCACCACGGAGCCTCTGGGACAGGAAACCCTTAAGTCTTCCGAGCCCAAGGTCTGTAGGGATAGTCTGTCTCCCACACCTGGTTCCCCACCCCCATACCATTTGACCGTGACCCAGCCAGGGCTTTCGGGAGGCGCCTCCTCGGGCCCCTCCCCACAGGGCCAGTCGCGTACGCTGCTCCAGCGCTCCAGCCGTGGCTGCTTCCTGAGACCATGAATTATTACTGACCGGGAGATTTCCTCCCCTGTCCGCGCCTCCTCGCAGGGGCTCCCTGCTCCCTTCACTTTCGCTTTCTCCCGGCTTCCCCCTCCCCTCTGCTCCTGACCCTCTGGAGGCTTGGAATTCCTGTCCAGCCCCCCTCCCAATTCCAGATCCAAAATGGAGATGCCTGAGAGGCAGGAGGGCCCCGCCTCCAAAGGCTCATTCATTCAGTTGCTCTTTGGGCAGGTTTGGACACAAGGGACCTTGGAAGTAAAATAAAACCATGAATGAGACCAAGTGGCTGGCTGCAGCAGAGGAAAGAGAGCTGTAAACAAAGAATTTCAGGACAATGTGGTCAGAGCCAGCCAGGGTCTGGCATCAAAGAAATCTGGCTTCAGTTCAAGGTCAGCGGCTTCTTGGGGTCTCATTTTTGCTGTTCTAGAAAATTGAGTTAAGGATATCTCCCATTCTTAGGGCCAGTGACAGTGCCTAGATCCTTTGCCAAGAAATCAGGGCCTGGCATTCAGTAAGAGCTAAGAACTGGAAGTGAGTTTGTATTGCTTTGCCCATGGCTTAGAAGGATCAAGAGGTATCTGCTCTTCCAAGACTGGTCAGCAGGAGTGCACGGAGCTTCTGCTGTCTGCTTGGCCCATCTATGTGAAAGCCTCAGCCCCTTACAGTCCTCATGCCCTTCTCTGCTCCAGCCACACTGGCTTCTCCATTCCCAGAGCCCGCTTCTGGGAACACCACTGTCTCCAGACATACGCAGGTGATCCCTCACTTCCTCCAAATGTCATCTCCATCAGAGGCCTTCTCTGACTGCCAGGGCTAGAGCAGTTACAGTCCCTCTCACCTGCCAGTAGCCCAACCCTTTCTGTCTGTCTGATCTTCTAATGCTATGGAAATCATAGTCTACAGACTGATAGCTGGTGTTGATTCTCAACTTGACAAAGGCTAGAATCACTAGGGAATGGACCTCTGAAGACGCCTGTGATCGTTTTTCTTAGTTGGGTGTATTGAAGTGTGAAGACCCTGAATGTGAATGACACCACTTCATAGGGCCCTGAACCAATGAAAAGGAGGGAGTTGAACACTAGCAAGCGTGTATCCATCCATCCCATCCCCCTTTCTGTTTCTTTACTGTGTATACAATGTGATTGGTGGCTCAAGCTCCTGTTGCTGTTAAGACAGTGACTGCCAGTTACCTTGAACTGTGTAAGCTGAAGTCAACCCTTGCCCCCCTTAAGTTGCCTTCATAGGGTGTTTTTATCATAGCAATGGGAAGACACTGCAACAGCATTGCTATGTATTCAGCAGTTTGGGAAGCTGGGGTTGCAACTGTAAACACATTCTCCCCCCCCCTTCTCCACACACCATCTGTCTCCACTGTGTTAAAACCTCCATAGAAGATAGACTTTACAGATTTTTCTCATTATACTTACTGCCCGTTGCTGCCTTACAATCCCCATTTTATAGACAGAGAAACTGAGGTTCATCAAGGAAGAATCAGTTACTTGCATGGGATCAACTAGCCAGCCAGAACAGGAGCTCAAGTTGGTCTGACTCCAGAGTCCTTCTTCCACATCATCTGGCATGTGAGGCAGCCAGTGGATGTGAGGGCTGACTGGAGGCCACTCAGCAAGAGAAAGAAGATTCCAGGCCAGTGGAGCAGCAGCTAGCCAGTCTCCCTGCTTGCATAGCCTGGCTTTCTGAGCCATGGAAGCTCTTGCATTTGTTCAGAGGCACCAACTATGTAGCCTCTGGGCCTTTGTTCCACCATCCTTTTTGGTTGGTGGGCCTGTCTCTGGCTAGGACCAGACCTATGCCTGGTCTTAGTGTAGCTTCTCATTGCAGTCTGCTTTGCAACTCCACCCATACCCTGGTGTAGCATCTTCTGGTTCTTCATGAGTTCTCTTTCTTCATTCCAATCTCCACCTAGATGCCCACTATTTTTTTTTATTAAATACAATGTTTTGCCAGGTGGTTGTGGTGCACACTTTTAATTCCAGAACTCAGGAAGTAGAGGCAGGCAGATCTCTTGAGTTCAAGGCCAGCCTAGTCTACAAGGGTGAGTTCTAGAACAGACTACATATATATTTATTTTAGACTTTCATACATGCATTCAGTGTTTTTTGAGCCTATGTACTCTCCACCTTCCCCCAGTTCCTCCAGATTCACCCCACCTACTCCAAACTTTGTTTCCTCTCTCTTTTAATATAACCCACTGAACCCCACATACTATTTTTGAAGTGTACTCTGGATTCATATGTGTCCTTACCAGTTACTTATGGTGCTGATTTGTGTGAGTGGGTGAAATTGCAGATGGTACTTTCCATAGACCAGTTTCTTGGAGGATTTCCTTTTGTTTGATTTTGTTTCCTTGCCACTGTTCTGTGTGCAGAGTCTCACACATGTCCATTGCTGCTAGGCACATGTGGTGAGCATTCAGCACCAGGCCTCCATCCTTAGTGGTAGATCCTGGTTTCCTCTGGCTTCTCCTGAAGCAAATGGAAGTGAACTTCTGGCACATGGTTCAGCGACTCCTCTGTGTGTGTGTGTGTGTGTGTGTGTGTGTGTGTGTGTGTGTGTGTGTGTGTTGTGTGTCTGTGCATGTGTACATGTATGTATTCATGTGTATTTATGTGCATATGTGTATATATGTGCTTATGCGTATGTGTTTGTACATGCTTATGTGTGACTGTGTTCATGTGTGTGATTCTGGGGTGTTCACACCAGGACAGCATGGCTGGGGGCACAAAGGGCCCACATACTGAGCCTCAGGACACGGACTCTACCATGTGATGCCTGCCTCAATCCACACGCCCCTCGGCAAAACATGGGGTCCACTTCACCCCTGGCTCTTAGAATCAGCCAACTTCCTCGTGAGAAAGAAAAATGGGTGCCAGACAGACGTGTCCTCCATCTCTGGCTTTCTTCCTCAGCAGATGGTGCATTGTGAAGGAGGGGAATGCATGACAGCATGCCAGGCTGGAGCCTGGCACATCGTGAGCGATAATGAGCATATTAATAAGTAAACTAATGAATGAAGAGGTTACAAATTCCCACCTACGTGGTTGCTGTGGTGGTTCATAGTGGCCGTCCTCTTGATTGCCACTGTGATCTCCTGTCTTTGTTCTTGGCACTGGGATTTCAAGTGTGCCATCACACACAACTTTTTACTTTAATTTTATAGGTATGGGTACTTTGTCTGCATGTATGTATGCACCACATACACACCTGGTGCTCTCAGAGGCTAGAAGAGGGCATCAGATCCCCTGGGAGTGGGGTTACAGGTGATTGTGGATGCTAGAAATCAAACCCAGGCCCTCTGCTAGAGCAGCCAGTGCTCTGGGGGTTTTGTTTTGTTTTGTTTTTGTTTTTCAAGACAGGGTTTCTCTGTATAATAGCTCTGGCTATCCTGGAACTCGCTTTGTAGACCAGGCTAGTCTTGAACTTACAGAAATCCACCTGCCTCTGCCTGCTGAGGGCTGGAATGAAAGGTGTGTGCCACCACAACCAGTGCTTGTAACTAATGAGCCAATTT